AAGTTTTAAAATTTCTATTACTAATTGTTGTTTTTCTTTTCAGCGAATTCCCGTACTGAAAATTTAAATCGCCGCACACGTCTCCAATTAATCGGTAGTACGATGTCAATGGTCTGAGCTCATGTTCATTTCACCTCTGACAATAAAGACGTTTGTTCTTTGAATGTACGTCCTGGAATGTGCCTTCCAAGATCAAATGGACAAGGCTGCAGATATACTACCCAGAGATATATTTACGTGTCGAAGGGTTGATATAGAATTGAATATGATCGATTATCGTTAATATCGTCGGGAATAGAAGATTTTCCGGACGCGTTTTCATCGGGATAATCTACTGGAAATAATGGATATTATGAAGAAGTGGAAAGAAATACTTGGAACGTCAAATGGTGAGTGTTTTCTTTAAACAAATTATTACACTACATAATAACGAAGTATCGTCTGAAATTGGTAAAATATCAGGAGGAGTGGCTCGAGGTTCCATTTTGGGTCCCCTCTTCTATACAATATATGCTAATAATTTTTCACTAATATTACAGCATTGCAAAGTGCACATGTATGCTGACGATACCCAGCTATATAGATTCTTTCATAAAAATAATGAAATTTTATCGCTACCGGAAATAAATAATGATTTAAATAATCTAATAGAATTTTCGACCAAACACAACTTAGTAATCAACACGAACAAGTCATCTGTCATATGTTTTGGTTTCAGTCACGGTGGACAATAAGGTGTTTCAACTCCCTGAAAAAAACATACCAAAACCGGTCGTAATTAGGCGCAAAAATCCGCTAGGTTCGCTAATGTCGTTACGCAGAAAATTGCGGCAATCTTTTTTTCTGTCAGAAGAAGTGCAATCGTAAAAATAGTTTTTCTACGGTAAAAATTCGAGTTTATAAAAAATGAAAAATGACAAAACTATCAGAAGAAGTAAAGATGAAAAAAAGAATGGTCAACAAATAAGTTTATTGTTATTGATTTTTTTTTAAAGTGTTTTTTTTTAACAAGCTACTACTAAATACACTGATGTGCGTTTATGCGATCAAAAAAAATTAGTGTTCAAGATTTAATAAATATGCTCCAATTAAGTTAAAAGTTACTGCTAGATAAGTGAAATGGGGTTTATATAAAAAAAACAGCTGATTTTGTTTTGTGTTCAATATTTTTAGCAAATATTACCTTTGGCTTGGGCAAGAACAACAATACAGTGGGTTACTGATTATAAAATGAAGACTATGTTACTCAGATTGAAGCTTATTACTTTCAAAGTGAGTTTTGTGATTTTCCCTACTCAGATTAAAGATATTCAATAAACAGTTAGTTTATAATTAAATCCATACATATTGATTGGAATTGCAAACAGAATATTGAAGTCTCTCTGGACTGGAGTATACAGGGTGTCTGTAAAAGGTCTTTACAAAAACATACCACATATTCCTTAGACCAAAATAAGTCGATTTAAGTAAAATTACCTTCGTACAAAATTGCTTCGTTTGGGCTCCAGAGGGCCTTGAAGTTACAATTTTTAAATCGTTTTTCCCACATAAATTTAAAACAGCATATGCGATTTTGCTGAAATTTGGTATATTGGTACAGTTTTATGTGGCAAAAAAAATGGTATTAAAATTTTGTCCGATAATAATACATAGGCGTAGAACTTGATTTTTTAAATAATTGTACCTTTAAAAATTCTACGCCAATGGAAGAAAAGGAATTTGAGTATGAAATTTAGATTGCGCAACTCATTTACTTTAAACAAGGTACTCTTGATAAGACTCGATTACTCTCATGGTTTTGACGAAATTTGCATTTTAGTAATTTTAGAACATAAACAATAATTATTAAAATACAAACTTTGTCAAACCCATGAGAGTAAATCGACTGTTATCAAGGGTAATTTTTTGTAGTAAATGAGTGCCCAATCCAAATTTCATACTCAAACCCCTTTTTTGCCATTGGCGTAGAATTTTTAAAGGTGCAATTATTTAAAAAAATCAAGTTCTACGCCTATGTATTATTATCGGACAAAATTTTATACGATGAAAAACATAAAAATGTACTTTTTTCATTTCTTCTTCACCTCTAATCGAGACTTTTAACAAAAATACTCGATTCTTGCCATGTACGATTTTTTGAGGAATATTAATTATTTGCCTGCAATACGTATACAAAAACATTTATTGTTGGTTTCCATAGTTTCATCTAAATAAAAATATTGTCAAGTTTTAACACATAATCTCTTGTTAACGATTGAAAGAGTTCTATCTTACTTAATAATTGTTTATTAATATGGCTGTACAATATACCAATGCAGAATATACCGATATGTTACTGACATTAGGATTTTATGAAGGAAATGCTCGAGAGAGTGTCAGGGTGTACTCTGAAAGGTTTCCAAATCGTCGGGTACCTAGCCACCCAACTTTTGCTGCTGTTGAGAGACGTCTTCGGGAGACCGGTTCCTTTGCTCCCAACACTGTTGATAATGGAAGAGAACGTTTTGTAAGGATTCCTGAAGTTGAAGAAGACATTTTAGAACGTGTTGAAGAAGATCCAGAATTAAGCACCAGACGAATTGGAAGGGAACTAGGAGTAAGTAAAGATGTCGTTCATAAAGTGCTTAGAGAACAATTGCTATATCCATACCATAAGAAGCCAGTACAAGAATTATTAGTCCATGTTCCTCAAATTCGTTTGGGTTTTTGTCGATTTGTTAATATGCAAAGAGAAAGAGATCCAAACTTTGTCAAGAAGTTCTCTTTACCGATGAAGCGGGTTTTACAAGAAGAGGTATAACTAATACCCATAATGAACATGTTTATGCCGTTGAAAATCCGCATGCAATAAAGGTAAACCATTTTCAGTACGAATTCAAAATTAATGTGTGGGCTGGAATAATTGGTAATTTCATTGTTGGTCCTGTCATACTTCCACGAAGATTAACTGGAGAAAATTATTTGGATTTTCTACCAAATACGTTGCCAGAATTGTTAGAAGATTTACCTCTCCAACTTCGGAGAGACATGTGGTTTATGCAAGATGGAGCTCCACCACATTTTTCTTTAAACGTTAGAAACTACTTGAATGAACAATATCCACACAAATGGATAGGCAGAGGTAATGCCGCACCTGTAAACTGGCCACCCCGTTCCCCAGACCTAACACCGATGAATTACTTTTTATGGGGACATCTGAAATTCACAGTTTACAGGGAACCTGTAGAAAATGAGGAACAACTCTGGCAACGTATTCAAGATGCAATAAACAATCTTAGAGGTGATGAAGAAGTTATGGAAAGGATACATTTTAATTTTTTTTCGACGTATAAATCTTTGTATGCGTGAAAATGGTGAACATTCTGAACAATTTTTGTAAAATCTCTATTTTGATTATGTTGTAAATAAATATTTTTGTGAAACTTATACACTAAATTATTAAATCAGAAATTTCGTCAAAACCATGAGAATAATCGAGTCTTATCAAGAGTACCTTTTTTAAAGTAAATGAGTTGCGCAATCTAAATTTCATACGGAAACTCCTTTTCTTCCATTGGCGTAGAATTTTTAAAGGTGCAATTATTTAAAATATCAAGTTCTACGCCTATGTATTATTATCGGACAAAATTTTAATATCATTTTTTTTTGCCACAGAAAACTCTATCAATATACCAAATTTCAGCAAAATCGCATATGCCGTTTTAAATTTATAGAGGAAAAACGATTTAAAAATTGTAACTTCAAGGCCCTCTGGAGCCCAAACGAAGCAACTTTGTACTAGGGTAATTTTACTTAAATCGACTTATTTTGGTCTAAGGAATATGTGGTATGTTTTTGTAAAGACCTTTTACAGACACCCTGTATATTTGCAAAAGGCGTAATTTGCCCGATTTTCTTGTAATATAATTAAATAAACAATAAAAAGTTATGGTACCCGTAAATTTCCAAAATTGAATGCTTAAATTTAACACATTTATGCAATAAAGTTTTAATATTTTTGCGGAACAAATGAACTATAAAATTTAACATAAATTTACAGAATAGCTACTCTTTTTTAATGTTATACGTTAAATTTTTAACATCCATTAAATTTTAACACATTAGTTATAGAATTACAACGCTTTTTTAAATGGAAGTTAAACTCAAAATATCTTAATTTTAAAGAAATTGATTGGTGTATATTGTAATATGTACACTCGTACAAAGTCATATACAGGGTGTTAAAAAAAAGTGTCACAAAATAGAACGGGGGGTAGTATGGGCCAAAATATGCAGAAAAGTTTTAATAAACATATGTCCGCAAATGAATGGTTTCAGAGATATGGAGTGTTTTGTGTTTTGTATCATTTTTTGATTATCTTTTTTCATTCTCAAAAACTTGCTTTTTTTATCGGAGTCTACCGATGTTTTTTTATAGATACTATTTGCAGTTATTATTTTGTTGTGGGTGAATAATTTTATAAATTTTCGTTATGCCTGTTTACACTAATATTGAATTAGCTGACATGCATTTTATGTACGGTCGTGCAAATGGCAATGCACTGAAATGGAGGGAGGGCACTTTGAACGTCTCATTTAACTCTATGTTGTTATTGATTGTTTATAAATATCATTGTTTTTTATAATAATAAAAAATTGTTATAAACACAAAATGGTCCGTATCTCCGAAACCGTTAATTTGCGGTCATATATTTATTAAGACTTTTCTGCTTATTTTGGATCATACTATTCACCATTTCATTTTGTGACACTTTTTTTTTAACACCCTGTATAATCTGTATAAACCTCGTCTGATTTTGTAACTTTGTGACAAAACTGGTCTAAAATCAACATTTAAATAAAATATTTATTAGAATCGAAGTCAACGTTATTGGTTATTAAATTAGTTATTAGATAAAATAAATGTATTAAATAAATATTCTAAACCTTTGAATCCCAGAAGGTATATAAGGAAACTATGAACAAAAATGTGCATGACAGACAATTTTCATTTTACATACCTGCTAATTCTTCAAATGTGTAATGATAATTTGTGAAAATTTTCTTTAAAATTAACGCCATCTTCAACTAATTTTAAATAATTGTTTTCTTCAGTCGTGCTTGTAATCTTGTTTTAGAAATTTTGAAATACCGAACAGTTCATTCACTAGAAAATACATACACATTTGGAATGGTGAATTTGAAATACTGATTCAAATTAACTTTATGATCAACAGTTCACTTATTGAAAATTTGCATAAATAAATGAATATTAATACCTACAGAGAAATGGTATTGAACTTTTAAAACTTTTGGGCGCTTTTGTTAAAGAATAAAATACAGTATTAGTCTAGTTAAAGTTGATAAAAAATTATAAAGGATGAAACGATTTGAGGATTCGAAAAAGCGTTTTTAAAAAATTATTTTATTTTTATTAAGAACAATATTTTTGGTTGCTACTACAACGAAGGTTTAATTAAGAGTAATTTACATTTGTTAACAATAAAAAACAAGCAATTACAAAAGTCCTGATTAGGCGTTATATTTAAACGATCAAAAGAACTTACCTGAAGTTCGATCGTAATTATATGAGGCATCCAGTCCGAAGATATCACATTGAGTTAACTATGTAGTAGGCCTTTTCTGCTACTACGCCCACGATATTTTTAAAGATTTAAAAAAGAAAAGCAAATAAAATAAAACTTATGGTACGCTCCTGACATCCCCATCCATATCTGTCTCTGTCGCCGCTTGGCTATTCAAGTAGCAAGTTCCTGTTCCGGGAGTCAATGTTTAGGAACCATCTGGGTTGGGAGTAGCGGGTTGTGATATCTTCGGACTGGATGCCTCATATAATTACGATCGAACTTCGGTAAGTTCTTTTGATCGTTTAATTATATTTCGGCATCCAGTCCTCGATATCACATTGAGTTATCTATGTAGTTGTTTAAAGATTTCCTAAACATTGACTGGTTTCGAACGTCACCTACGGATTCTTAGAGGTGTGTTATAATACTTATGAAGTCTTCAACAAGAACGATCTTTTATTAAACAAGTTGACTAACAAAATTAAACAAAGTAACATTAGATTGTCTGTTGACAAAATACTTAAAATAAAAATTGAACGTTAAATTGTCTATTGACAAAATACTTACAACACCTAATGGAACATTACACTAGTTTGTTGACAAAACCGCTTTCAAGAGGTTTTTCGTATCTATTAAAGGTCTGTTATAAAAACGAGCAAACGTTGAAGATGATTCGCTCCAACCAGCACATCTCAGCACATCTTCTTATAGTTTCGATAGATAAGCAGCTGAAGTTGAAGCATGCCTGGCCGAGTGCACCGTGAATACAGATGTATCAATTCCAGCTGCTTCCAGTGTGGTTTTAACCCAGTTTGTTTGTTTGCAGGGTCGAATGGTGCTTTGTTGGTTAAAAAGACAAAATCGCAAGCAGGTTTTCTGATACTCTTGGTGGCGTCTAAGTATTCTTTGATCTTTGAGGATACACAGAGAGTTGGGTTGTCGTGCAAATAAGGAAAGGTCTAATTTTGGCTGCAATGTTTTGGGACCTGATGTTTTAATAAGGTCTGGGATAAATATGGTTGTACCTCGTTTGTTGAATTTAATAAGTGAAATCGTTTGGACTCTCTAGCCCGTTGCCAACATTAAAAGAGTGGCTACCTTTTGTGATAAGCTTATTCTCGTATTGGGCGATTTTTCTAAAAATGACAGTACACGTTGAGGATCCCATGTTGTTCCGTATTTAGGCTTGGGTGGCCTAAGACGAAAGACTCTCTTCAAAAATCTCTTTAAATGAGGATCATTTCCGAGGTCCCTTGAGTGTATTAAGGAGATAGCAGCACGGTGTGAATTAAAGGAACCAAATATGTTATTTGTTGAATCGAGTATTTCTTGAAGAAAGGAAAGAATATGTGTTACCTCACAATCAAATGGATTCAGATTTCTGTTGCAGCAGTATTTCCACCATCGTTTTAGCGTAACTTTGTATTGATTTAAAGTGGCTGGAGCTAATGAATTTTCCATGGTGTTGATGACATGATCCGAAATTCCCCTCTTCCTAAACGCTTGCCGGATAATTTCGCCGCCATCAGGGACATTTTCTGATGAATAGGGTGTTTGGTGTTGCTGTAAGGACAGGTTAAAAGTGAATTACTCGGGCCAAATACTATAGGGCCTTCAATTATTAGTTTATTAAATAGGAAAAACGTAAAAATTTTCTATGATTTTTGCTGATTGGAAGCAAGTAATATGCATCTTTTAAGTCAAGCGTAGCCAAATAACATCTCTTTTGAACCAGTCTTATTGCAGTCCTAGCATCCTCCATTTTAAAATGTGGTGCATCCACGTAAAAATTTAAATGTTTTAGATTCAATATAAATCTCTTCCTGCCATTCGATTTTTCCGTAAGAAATATGTTGGAAATAAATTGATCTGGGGATGATGTGCACCTTTTAATGGCACCGATTTTTAACAAATTTTTTATCTCTGACAACATTTGGTTGGTGTCGATTTTTAAAAATTTTGAGGGCCCAGGAGGAGAAGTTTGAATTGGAATTGTAGTGAAAGGAATATTATAGCTGTGCAGCCAGCTCTGAATAATTGGATTATTTGTAATATAATGCCATTCCTTATGAAAAAATCCTAGGCGACCTGCAGACACCCTGTATATAGCTATATTAATAATACTGATATTTAATTGTAGAATAGAAATATTTATCTGTGCCGTCTACTATACCTAATATATGTGATATCTAGTTTCAAGGTATAATTGTGTATTCCAGACATTTTTAATTAGAGTTAAGTGTTTGTTAATATTAACATTAGTTTATACACCTGATAAAGTTACCTGGCCTTATTGTATTCTTAAATATTATTATTTATCTTATATTTTCAAATAACTAACAAATTAGAGAATTTTAAGTACTTCGGAGTACCTCGAAGTATATCGGAAGTATCTCGAAGTACATCGGAAGTATCTCAAAGTACTTCGAAGTATCTCGAAGTATCCCGAAGTACTTTTAAATACACCAAGTACTTCGAACTAATTCGAAGTAGGAGTACAAAATTTTGGCTTGTGATCCACCCTTTGAGTCTCTCTGACTGGAGGCCTTTCATCCGACGTTGTCACATTTAGTACTTTTCTATTTTTGTGGTAATTTTTAGATTGTTTTGGCTAGTTTTAGTAGACAATGTTTTTTGTAGATTTTTTAGATTTTGGTAGATTTTTTAAAGTATTTAAAAAAATTAATTAATCAAATAAAACTTCCTATTTAAATAATTGTGTTACTAAAAATGTTAGGTTATAAATCTGTACTTCAGTTCACTTAGGGCGGATGTTCAATTATTAGCAAATATGGACTTTCAATTTATTTTAATCTATTCTAGCTCTATGTATTGTACTAACTATGAAGACTAGAGAGAAGGAGGCGAATCGGCAATGGTCAAATTTCAAATTTTCGTCCTTTTTATAAAGTTCGCGAAATTTTATATAATATAAAATTTTAAAATTATATGTAGATGCTGACCTACAAACAACAGTATCATCTCTAGAAAGTGCTTAATCGGCACTAGGAACGATATACCGGGTGTTCAAATTAAAGTGTTACAGCTAAGTACCGCCTTTTATAAAAGACACGTTTCAGACGAAAGTTTTATAGTTTTGTGGGGAAAAATTTTTGTCTAAAATCGTTTTTTATAGCTAACCATAATATGGACAACTTTTTTTTCGCCCAGCAAAATTTTCAAGTAACTGTTACTCAAAAAGTAAAATTCCATTAAAAAAAATATTTCCCTCAATAGTTTCTTATTTTTTTATGTACTTTAAGAATATGTAAGAAAAAAATGGGGTTCCAATTTAAAAAAACAAAGTCCACCTCGATATGGCCATCATATTATGGTCAGCTATAAAAAAATGAATTTAGTCTAAATGTTTCCCCCAAAAAACTATAAAACTTTTGTCTGAAACTTTTTTTTCTAAAATGCATATTTTCAGCGGTATTTAACTGTAACACTTTAATTTGAACACCCGGTATATGCTGCCACTGTTTTAAACGTTTAGTATCCTATAAAAAACATTTACAATGACACAATTGAGGTCAAAAAAAAAAAATAATAGTCGCAACTTTTTATCTAACATTAAAACTCTAAAAAAAATAAATTTTCTTTTCTAGTAAGTTAAATTTAATGCATAATTATTGTTTTTTGTAAGTCAGCATCTATGACTATAACATTTTATATTATAAAAACTTGTAATAAAATAAACTACACTTCGTAAGATACATATTATGACTCTTTTACAATAAATATTATATTTAGACATGAATGCATTATTTTACTTACATTAGAAGCTTTAAAAAGACATTGAATTGATTTCTTCTTGTGTTTTTTTTTTTAGTTTTACATGTGATTTGTATCCTGTTTTACAATCTGGAACGACGTAAATCTTGCTTTGATGTTTTTTGTCACTCATGTTACTCGTACTCAAGTACTTTTTTTCAAATAATTGATTCTTTTCACCATTTTTTTAAAAAATCACTTCATTTTGCATTGACTTACATAGAAAATTGACACCGCTGTCATTCGACATGCCAACTATAGGCAATTTCGTGAACTTTGTGAAAAGAAGGACGGAAATTTGAAATTTGACCATTGCCGATTCGCCTCCTTCTCTCTAGTCTTCATATTAGTGATAATTCTCAAACATCAAGTATATTATGGGTAAGTATAACATATCAACTCTAACACATAGGGTAACATTTAAAGTTATTGGTCACTATGACCCTGTGACAAAATCTTTGAGTTAATACTTGTAGAGATGTTTACAACCGGTTATTTTCAGCCTCTAAATTTCAGTAGTTTAAGTATAACCGTTCAAAATATAAGTGGGGCACTTTTGAGTAGCACTGTATGTAAATTAGGTAGAGTCGATTATTTTTTACCCTACAATATTTGGTGTAATTTATGACTTATCTTTTTGTTATACCCTGTATGTAGAATTGCTAACATTGTATTTTTCAAATATATAATTCAGAAGTAAATAAGAAATTAATTCTGTTCTCTGAAATAATTAATGTTTCGCTAATTAAATATCGTTACTCACTGGCCTATATTAAATAATGTATTCTTCAACATTGACACATAAATGAACTTGGCAACATATTCTTGACGCTTTTCGTGTGACTGTACATACATTGTTACGTTTTACCATGCTTATTATAATACCGTAAAACGTGGTAGTTTCGATCAAAATT